AACGCCTGGCTCAGAATACTTTTCTGTACATTCTATAACTCAGTGAAAGAAAATTAAGAAAATATTCCCTATAGCTATATAGTGTGTGTATTGAGGATGAAGGACCCATGCTCGCAGGTTGGGGAGAATGCTGACATCTACTGAAGGGCTTCATATCTCACTTCTCAGGCCAACCCTGTAAGGAAGCACCATCCCTGCAGATGAGGGACTGAGACTTGGAGGCTAAGGAACCAGCAGAACTATCAATATATGTATAACATCAAAGTACTAGGACTGACAAAATCCCTACCATTTGTAGCTGCTGCAAAGTGTGGGGTGGGGTGGGAAAGGGCCACAGCCAGTGACTCTCCCTCTTGGGTTCAGACCATCTATACACAGCACCCGAGTAGCTGTTTCCGGAGCACGGGGTGTAGAGGCCAAGGAGGAAATCCCCGGGTGGGAAGTGTGTACTGGGGCCTTCCAGGAATTATGAAACTTGATACCACAGGCCAGGAGTACTAGCACAGTGGAGAAGTCAAAGCAGGGGGAACCCCAAGCCCAAGACTGAGCAAGGGAGGCAGTAGAACCTGAGATTGCCAAGAGGTTGCTAGAAATGTGCCCTCTCCCTTCCAGTCCCCTCTCTCTCATCCACAGCATATATGATAAGAGAAGTGGGAGAAAGGCAGGACTGTAAGGGATTGGTTCCCAGGGTCAAGACTGGAGCCTGGAAGCTAATAAAGACTCAGGGATAGTTCCAAGCTTAATCCTAACCCACAGAGCATGTTTAGGCCACTGGGCTCCACTACAATGATACTGGTTCACTTTGTGAAGGAGTGCCAGGAAAGTGGAGGGGGCACTGGACAGAGAGACTTCAAGAAAGGGTGGGCTGTGAGGAACAGCAGATTTCCAGCAGGCGTTTCATTTGGAGGAAATGAAGTAGGAGGAGCTAAGAGAAAGAACTAGTAGGAGGTGGCTGGGAACCCTGGAACAATCAAAGGGGGTCAGCCCCAGGCTTCTCAACTGATGGCTGCAAATCCCCATGCAAAGGGCAGGCTGTACCCAGAGTTCATGTGTCTGTATCTGTGTCTACCATGGCTCCTGGCTGGGGGTAGGAGGGGCATCTATTTTGGGTGCCAGGCCTTCAGGCTGGCCCTCCAACCTCAGGAGGCCCCATGTGTAGAATAGGTTGTGTCCCTGCCACAAGCTGAGCTAATTTCCTTGGCTCAATTCCATCCTACCAATCTCTTGGCAGACATCTGAGGTGCAGGAAGCCTGCAAGTCTTTGGGTGGTGAGAGAGAAGTGGTTCTGCCCTCTGTGAGGCCTAGCTCCAGGTCTGAGAGAAGAGGCCTCTGGGTTAGAGTCAGTGGGAACCAAGCCCTCAGGGACTGGCATTTTCTAGCCTTCGCAGAAGACTAAACTGTAAACCTTGTATTCCCTCCTCTCCATTCTGCTCTTATCTAAAGGACACACAGCTCTTGCCTTAGTATGCTCAGGCAAACTAGGGTAAAAGAATGAATTCTGAAGAATGACAGTTACCAAGGGAAGAAAATAGAGTGAAGTCTATTATTTCCAAGTAGCTGTGTACTAAGTGCTTTGAATGGGCATGTGTTTCATCCCTCAGATGTGCAGGGCAGAAACAAAGTGAAGATCCAGCAACCTATAGCCTTCCTGCAGATTATCCTATATTTCCCCAAAATATACTGGTCCCTCTGACTATGAACCTTTCCCCACCACACCTATTTCCCCTCTCCTAAACTCTGGGCCCCTAGAATTCATTTACAGTGCATGTCCCCTATGATCTGAGGACATCCTCTGACACCACCAGGCTAGCCATGGAATATCTGTCGCTCTTAGAGCTCACCAGTTTAGCAATAAACTATAGTAGCTGGAACATGGGTTACAAAGTTTGAAAGACTTTGATTCAAATGCCAGAGCCTCTGTGACCTTGTTGATTTTTTATTTTTTTGAGACAGAGTCTTATTATGTTACCCAAGCTGGAGTGCCACGGCTCAGTCTCGCTCATGGCAACCTCAAACTCTTGGGTTCAAGTAATCTTCCTGCCTCAGCTTCCCAAGTAGCTAGGACTACAGGCGTCTACCACAATATCCAATTTTTTTTATTTTTAGTACAAATGGGGTCTTGCTTTGATCAGGCTGGTCTCAAACTCCTGAGCTCAAGTGATCATCCCACTTCAGCCTCCCAGAGTGCTAGGATTATAGGCATGAGCCACTGTACCTGGCTTAAGCCTTGCTTTTTATTTGTAAAATACTGCTATTTCAACAGAGTTAAGATTTTTTTTTTTTGAGACAGAATCGCACTCTGTTGCCCTCAGTAAAGTCCTGTGGTGTCATAGCTTACAGCTCTTGGCTTAAACTCTTGGGCTTAAACGATTCTCTTGCCTTAGCCTCCCAAGTAACTGGGACTACAGGAGCCCGTCACAATGCCCGGCTAAGGAGAGTTAAGATTCTTTAAATAAGGCCAGGCACAGTGGCTCACACTTGTAATCCTAGCACTTTGGGAGATTGAGGTGGGTGAACTGCACGAGCTCAGGAGTTCGAGACCAGCCTGAGCAAGAGTGAGACCCCTCTTCTTTACTTAAAATAGAAAAACTAGCTGGGCATTGTGGCAGGTGCCTGTAGTTCCAGCTACTGGGGAGGATGAGGCAAGAGGATCACTTAAGCCTAAGAGTTTGAGGTTGTGGCTTGGCGCCTGTGGCTCAAGTGGCTAAG